CAGTAATAAAAAAAACAAAAAAAAAACATTTGAATATTTTCTCACATCGACTAGTCCCCCAGTGGGACAGCGGTAAGTCTTCGGATTTACAACGCAAAATCAGTGGTTCGATTACCCTCGGTGGACATAGCAGATAAGCGCGATGTGACTTTGCTATAAAAAGAACAACACCTACACCCAAATCACATCGACTAAAATTGGTAACATAATTGAAATAGCTGAATGTGTCACGACTGTCGAACCTGGAACAGCGATAAATTTCATTCTTTGTAACTAGTATTTGGAGGATAAAACCTCTAATTTCTTTGCACTATATTCTGAAGATAATAGAACGAGAGGACACAAGTTTATTTTTCTATGAGAGTGATTGACCTACGGAATATTGGCAATAGTGAAAGATAGCACTTTGCAGGAGGTTAAGAATGGAATCGGTGATTATCTGAAAGATAAAGGATGGGTTTAAATGTTTACTCTTCTCAAAGGTGGGTGTGCAGGGTCAGCCTTAAAGGACCGAATAGCCTTTAGTTGTCTGTATATCTACGCTCTGTTCACTATGGGGTATCGAGCCCTTGATTTTAACGTTGTGAGTTTGTAAACTTACCACTGACCCACCGGGGAAGTATGTTAGTTTGTCTTTCGATTTTTTTCTAATATACTACATACGCAGCGTGGTCACAAGTAAATAGACACCACCTTTACAGAAAAAATGAAATTTTTCAGTCATATTCACTTGAATTGATAGATTTATAATTTAATTAATATCTAGTAGATCTTCCTTTCGTTTCGTGGAGTTCGTTGATCCTTTGGGGCATCGTGAGAATCATCTCGTCCATTTTAGATTATGGGATTTTCGCCCACTCTTGCTTCAAAACTTGAAGTAGATCGCTCTTCGAGGTTGGTTTTTTTTGGTTGTTTCTTGACTTGCCGGTCGAGTATGGCCCAAAGGCTTTCGATGGGGTTCATGTCAAGGAGATTGGCTACGGCCAAGGCAACTTCTGGAGAACCATTTTTCTTTC